TTCGCCCCGACTGATTCTGGGTGTGCCAGGGTCACACCCGTATGACTGCATCACTTCAGGATTTCCTCCCACATGATGCTGACGAACTGTCAAAACCTATCACTCTCAAAAGCGGGTAAGATCCAATTCACTCACTCATAAAAGTGGATAAAATTATGATACGTTATAAAATGCATAATAAAACTCTGTAACTGGTTTTGCATACTGTTTTCATGATTTGGCTATTCACAAGCTCTGCCATCTTGTATTCATCCACATTCATGGCCATTTTACAAGTAACATTACCTGCAAGTTAAAAACTCTCACACTTTTAAACGATTTGTGTTGTCACAGTGTTTGTAAATAGACTGTTACGTTACGGGGGGGGGGGGGGGGGGGGGGGGGGGGTGCGCAACCCCCCTTTTTATTTCGAAAAAAACCATTATTTCTGTATAAATTACCACCAAAGACAATACATATATCTTAATTGTGCACCCACCCCCCTTTTTCAAAAAAGCTGTATCCCATGAAGCCCATTGCACGATTGCATTAGCATGTGTTCATGAATTTAGTGTCACTGGAGGGATATTGCCTCAAGGAGTCGTGCTTTATATATCTTTAATTAATAGTTATTAAAAACAGTCCCTTCAATGACGCAGATGATCTCTCTGTACAAAACAGTGGAAATATGACATAAATGGACCAGCGTCATTGTCATCAATTTAAGGAAGCTTTTGATGGATGAATATTCTATTCAACTTATGGATTCTCCAATATGGATACAGCTACTGACATGTTAATGACGCGACACATGAATGTGCACATCGTAATTGAAAGTACATTGTGATTTTGTCTATGATGTTTGGTGTTTTCGTTCGGAGGTTTTAATAAAGTTCCGCGACCTACTCAGGGACGACTCAAATGGAATCCTGTAGAAATAAAACCCGAGTGACAAATCCACTTGGAAATTGCTGGGTAGATGTCAGCTGCTACGCTCTACCGTGCTCCGACGTCATGGGCCGTTGCTCATGCAGTCAAACACTGGTTTCGCTGGTCCAAACTCATATTAAAATAGAGACTACAAAATCGGTGGATATATCGTTATCACCGCCCTAATATGGGGTGAATATTTTTAAAAGGATATCCAGGGCAATTAAGGACATAGGCCAATGTCTCCGGTATTTTATTTTTCAGTTATGCAAGGAGAAACTGGTGGATCCGAACTTTAAATTCGCCTTGGTTTGGACCCTTGTCTCTCATCACCATGCCCGTGCTTGTGGGTTTCACCGAAATGGTAAACATCTACGACCTGCGTCACTTTGGACTCTCCCGTCACAATAAGTGGACACGTCGGGATATAACTGAAATACTGATCAAAGAGGCGTTTAACCCAACTCACTCACTTGGTCTTGTAACATGAAAAGGAGACTCCGTATGGATGTTCTCTGTGTCATTCTTGTCATTTCTGTACGTGTTTAATCAAATCATATTCATCAGTACCAATCATTCGACTTCAAACTGATCTCCGTTAGGGGAGTTGAGTAGAGGCTCCTGGGACTGGAAGCACAAATCTTAGCGCTACAACCGTTGTAAGTATTTGTAAGTATATGAAGAAGGATATAAGATTGATATGTGCAAGTGGATCTTTTTCTGTATCATATGTATTAAGAGTTGCAATGACATGAGTTAGAATCCATGACTGTCTCTGTTGTGATGAGTCTACATAAAGCATAGATGATAGTGTAAACGCTACACATGTAATGTCTGCACATGTTGTTCAAGACGTCTGATTATAAACTAAAGTGGTATGCTTTGTATAACACAAGAACAAAAGAAGCTGGAAAGCCAAGACGATCTTTAATAGTTAAAACTGATTAGTATCGATTTAAGTAAAAACTGAAGTTAAATATTGTCCGAAAAAGCCCAAATGTGTTACTAAAAGAAACGCGCTTTCAAACGTAAAACAGAAACAGCGTACCATTTTAAAAAATCCTAAAGCACAAAATGTCCGAATGGTCCGAAAAATATAAAAACGTCCGAAAGGTCCAAAAATGCAAAAAGGTGCCATACTTGGGGAACTGGGGACTTGGTCGGGGTGTCGTCATCATCGAGGTTGATATCGACGAAGTGAGGGGCATCACGGAGGACGGGGGTAGAGAGGGGGGCAGGGAGAGAGGTGGGAGGGACGGGCAGCTCTGATAGAGGCTCAGGGATGGTCATGTATCTCCCAGTAGGACGCTGACAGGGAGGGAGAGAGAGAAGGAGATGTAGAGACTAGAGAAAGATGGGTAGCTTAAATGAATGGATTGATTAGCAATACTCATGACGTTAGAAGGGCGTGCTTAAGATCTGATGTTTTTACTGCACATATGAGAGTCCGATTCAATAGTATATGTGTTACTATGGCTTTGTGTTAGCAACAGATTAATTGGTTAAGTGATACACCCATAAAAAAAAGACACACATTTACATTTTACAATAACTTAGCAGCAAGCATCAACTGGACCTGGGTGTATCAAAACTTCATCAACTAATGGCTTCACTAAACCGTAACTATTCATAAGATTAGTCAACCATGACATTAACATTGGTAACAGGTAATCATTACTTTAGTGAAGCATTTCCATTAAGGTGTCATTAACTTAGGGTATTCCCCTTTAATTGGATAATAATTCCGTTGTAGCAAACAAACATCTGCGAAGTGGCACTGTGAGTATTAGCAGTTCTCTCCACTCCAAAGCTTGGTAAGTCATAATTGCCAAAATCATCACTTCTGGCCTTTGATTGTGTGATGTATATTACGTGTTTGGGAGGTTTCAATGCCCCCCCCCCCCCCCCCCCCAAAAAAAAAAGAACTTTGTATTTTGTTATCAACGTAATAGTTCATTTCTGGCCAGTTCATTTGCGATGGTGTCACTAAATGTTTGATAGAACCGAATGTAATGGCGGATGAGTTAATGGAGGTTTAATGACACCTCATCAACAATGTGTCATTAAAATTTTATGCAACCCTGTCCAGGACATTATATTCGTGTTGAAAAACGTTATAACTTATCATGTTGATCCATTCTCATGCGAGAAGGTTAATGTGGTACACATTAAATTGGCGATGATCTCATGATTTCGCCATTTTTCGTAGAAACTATAGAATCATTGTATTATCAAATAAACTGCTTTGGAGCAATTACAGTTGAAATGAGAATTATTTAAGATTTGTGATAACATACACACACACCAAACCAATGTGCTCTTTCCCCAATATTACACAACACAGACCATTGAGAGCAGTCGGGGTTCGATTTAGCTATACACCAGTGCAACCTATTTTTGAAAAATGTAACCTAAAATGTTTCAAATTTGTGTCTTTCTCTTACCTGTCCACAAAAACGTGCATCCCTCAACACAGTCAATACCTCTAAGCTTTATTTACCATATTACATCCATTTCTGTTATGTGTAATTTGTCATCAGTGTGGGCACTTCAAGGTCATGTGCAACTTTTAATTTTGATGAATGCATGGGACAAGGGTGCAACCTGGTTTTGTCTGGTGCAAATAGGTTTTCATGTCAACCTGGTGCAAGTTACATCAAGTTCCTAAATCCAGCTAAATGTTGTCAGTTTTAGAGATTAATGATCAGCAAAATAATTTGTTTTTCCTCTCTGTGAGTACAAATTTCAAGTGGTCATACCGTGTATATTGTCAGATTAAGACTTGGTGGAGCATATTGACATTTGTACTTTGTTCTTGATATTCATCGATTAACCGCAATATCATTGTCATGGACTGTGCGAAGCACTCCTAAAAGCATCATGACAGCGACAACTGTTCATATAGCTAGTGGCTGGTGTTGACTTTCGTACATGTTTGGTGGAAATATTCCTAGTCCATTATTATGTTATTGTAACAAATTCAGAGTAGAATTGATCTTCAATAAGCACCAATTATGAGAAACAGAGTAGGTATGGGTTAATAAATTTTGGTTCAGTATAATGGAGCCTAATAATCATCAATTATGTGCATAAACTGCTTATTCTGAAAATAATTTACCACTTACCTATGTCAATGTGGAACCCTAAGCTAATTCAGTTTGGTTCAGAAAATTGGAAGATGAGTTATTGGATTTCAAAAGGCCTAGATCTACTAAGTAACCTTTAGGGCCTTATAAATAAATATGTTCTCGAACCACGAACGAACCACTAAGAGGATAATCGGCACTGGTGGGCTTATGTAATCACAAACATTGTAGAAACACTATAGAGAACCAATCAGTGAATACAACATATAAATCAGAGGGCAGTCAGGACCATTGACTTTGAAGATATGATACCAATCTCACCAAGGTTCGGTGTTCGACACTTTTGATCCTGCATTTTCTCCGCTAATGCTAATATATGTTTACCATATTTCTACGGAAACTATATTTCGCCTGATTTTAATCACACATTTCGAGATTCGTTTTTGACAACTAAAACACGTTGCGTTTAATACAAACATACACACAACGTTCCGTCCTTCGTGGGGCCCCGGGGAAGAATGTGTTCCCAGCACCCTATTGCTGGTCGTAAAAGGCGACCGAATCCCTGTGTCCTGCGTCCCTGTGTCGGCGGACGGGGTCTGGTGGTTGAGGACCCTGGTCCAGGAATAGTGCTTCCTTGCCCAATACACCACTTCACAATACACCAAGAATATCAGTCGGCTCATCGTGCCAAGCCCTGAGCACTTATTATATTGTGTATGTACAAAATCTGACTTTCGATTTGAATTTTTACCTGAGGACTTGGCTAAATTTAGTTAATTAGTTAATCTGCTTGAGTATACCATTCCAGTATCCTTGGTGCTGCCAGTTGGAGATCCATTGGCTTACAGCATTGCCTTTGTGATAATCTGCGGTGGGTGGAGAGCTGGGATGGTGAACTATAAATTTGACTTATTCGTAAGCGTACACCTTTCAGAGAGAAATACAAACTCCTCTACATCACAGTCATCTTTCTGTGTTAGGAGCTTCAAAGCGTGCCGTCTGCAAATGTGTACTTCCGGTCTACAACCCGGAGAGAAAACAAACGAATAAATCCACGGATTTCATCAAGATTTTTGTCATGTTATGGTAATTGATTTGGGGTATTTTGTGTTTATTACTCCCTATTCATGTGTAACCTCTGTTTTGTTGTACAAACGGTTTGCTGTTCTTGATAAACTAGTCGAAAAGCAGTGTTTTTTTGCACTCGTGTTGAAAGATGGACTAGACGATCCTAGATCTAGATGAAAATATTGAAAGCACAAGTCCATTCCCAGTGTATCATCGTCAAGAGCCTGCTTGGAATTTGAATTGCTTAGTCGTGTAGGGGTTCTTACTCGTGATCAGTTCATTTTTAAAAGGGAAGCTTAAAAGGATTAAGAAGCAAAGGATAATAAAAAAACCTATTACACGTGTGTCTACTCAAAGTACCCAAAAATATAAATGGCCGAAGTTGAAATCTTCTGTATTGTTAAAATTACCTATTTCGGGTGATTTTATTGAAATATTGGCTTCGTCATGTCTGTCAGTCACGGTTTAAATGACAAGGCTTTTCCTCAACTATATATCATTGCCAGATGAACAACTACCGGTAGTCAGAAATGAACTAAGGGCAAGTTATCTTCCTCTTCAAGATAAAAAATAAGGACAAATAAAAACATTTCGATAGAGATAACACAGTAGCTGATATTAATCAATGAGGGGATACTGTTACCTCAATTGAGTTTGGAGGCTGCCCTAGTATAAGTGTTATCCTTATTATTAGAATCAGTTAACATGGTTAGAACAAGGATACATAATCAAATAATGGAGTTGAACCTGTGAACATGATCTCATGGCCATTGTATTGTCATTTATTGTGATGTGTGCATGGTAAAGTTGGATTTGTTTGTGATCATTGTAATACTATTATCTAATAAGAAATGTTGGCTTCAGCATGATTGCTGAAATGTTTTGCCTGTGCAAATGGCGCAAGTGAAGTGTAACCATGGAAAACATGGTGACAGAAGTTATTTTTTTTTCCCTGCTGGTGCAGTTTGATTGGTGGCACTTACTACGAAACTACTTTGTAAGATTACTATTTTATTTATCCATGAAGCCATTTTCAGGACATGGTAACCATGGTAACATGAGCTTACAGGCCATTGCATTTCAACCATGTGTCCACTGGCAGAGGCTGGATGATTAGCAACACAGTTGTAAATGGATAAATCACAGTGGTCATGATGCTTAAAAAAACCCTATCTTTTGCAATAGAATCTTCAAACAGTCACAGTTCAGCAGAATCAAATACAACAATATTCCTACAGAAAGACTTTGTGGGTAGATTTACCCTTGTGATGTTGACAGTGGGGACATGGAGCAGTTGCAGGAAAGACAGTCTGAGGTGACTATTCATGTGTGGCAAATGGCTTGAACAATCAACTTCAACAACCCACGTTAAGAAGTCCTTATGCAGTTAAGCATCACTATGATCACACTGATATCTCTCTGAGCTTCCATGCATCATGATCAAGTGTAACACAACACACTCACCTGGTTTCACTTGAAGAGGACAAAACTCCCTTGAGTTCAATGTGACCCTTTTCAACAGGGTGCAGGCTAAAACGTCACCGATTTCTCTGGCGAAAACGGCACCGCATTTGGCGAAAACGGCTACTATGTGACAGGCGAAAACGGCACCTCTTTATACCAGGAGGATATTTTCTTGGCCTCACAAAAAATGTCCTGGACAGTAGGGGGCTAATTTCTACTGTAAACTTGTTTAAACATTTCACTATTATTAGTGTTTGTAAGAGACGATGTGAGTTTAATTTCTTTTATTTTACTTCAAGGCATGTTATGTTTTCACAATAAGTTGAGTTGCGTATAGGCTAAGTTGGAAAATAATTGGAGTAGAGGCTAAATTCTAATGTAAACTAGTTGTAACATTTCACAATTATTGGTGTTTGCAAGCGACCTTGTTAGTTAAATATCATTTATTTTATCAAGGTTAAAAAAACCATAAGGTGTCGTTTTCGCCAGGCAATATTAGCCGTTTTCGCCTGAGGCGAGGTGACGTTTTCGCCAATCGGTGCCGTTTTCGCCAGGTGACGTTTTGCTGAGGTGCCGTTTTAGCTATAACCCTTTTCAACATTGTCAGTCTGATCGCTGCTGATAAAAAGGACATTCTCCTTAAGTTTGATTTGGACCTCTGGTTCAAGAATTGAAGAAAGTCGTGTAACCATGGAAACAAGGACTTATTTTGAGATTGATGAGAAACCGAGATCATGGAGATATGGAAAGCTAAAAACTGCAATGCCAACATAAATGAAAGGTTCAACATTGAAACTAGTCTGCTGCCCCTAGACTCATGAAAGATTTAAAAGACAAGTCCTTTTCCTGAACTGTATATGTCAATGTTACATGAACAACAACGGGTAGTAGGAAATGAATTTTGGACAAGTTGTCTTCCTCTTTGAGATGAAAAAAAAAGACAATCAAGAAACTGATTAGGATTAAAGTTTACATAAATTCTGTTGACAAAAAACGCTATTGGCAAAGAATGCCTAGGGTGACAAACTTCCACCATTGTGTTGTTTTATCGGTCATGAATAGTGTTTAGCAGACCAGTCACTTAGCATGCTTAGCTTAGGTGCCTGGATGCTGAAGGAGACTGAGAAGGTAACCTTCTGTACTTCTGCGTACGGGACGGCACAAACAGCACAAGCCATGCCAGATGTTCATTAGAACAACTTCGAAAGAGATTCAGTCTTAAAAAGAATGAATGATGTACAGCAGCAACCACCGAAACATGAACATGCTTGTATGGTTAATGGGACTTCTTGTACAGCATAACCACATTTGGTCAAGACCGTCTCTTTTGTTTTTATTTCATCTCATGAGAATACTGGAACTGAAATAATCACAACTTTAGCCATTGAAAATTGAACTTTGAAGTTGTAAGCTGTAAATACTGGTGTTTCTGCTTCTCCTGAGGAAGACATGTGAATATTACTGACTGCAGCGAGAAAAATGAGTTACAAAATGTGCAGATAGAGATTGCCGATTGCAGCGCATTGCAGTATTTGAAGATTTGCCAGCAATGCTGTCCTCAATCAACTAAGCAAGTCCAGACGGACATCCAGGAATGTGAAGAGGGCTTCGCTGGTCAGCATCTGAGAAGTCTCCAAAGACAACAGTGTGAGGCTTCAGAATCGGAAACAACACTTTTGACATTTCTTGGTGTGATAATCCTATGAACTCATGGAAAGTTCAAAACCATTGAGGAAATACCAGTCAGCTTTTTCTCTCTTGTTTGCATTTCATCAATGATGTGTTTTTGCACAATTATGAGAGTCAGCGTAAAGGGATTTTTTTGAGTCAGAAACTGCTTATCAGGGCAATCAAATGTAATATGAACAGTCCCAGCTGAAACACAACATATTTCCCATGTTACCCGGTAGTATGGTTTGATAGTGTCGGAACTGATTTTTGTTTCCCTTACTGCTGAAATACTTCTTTTATTTGAAACACTAATGGAATTCCTCAACAGAAGCGGAAATTCTTTCAGAAGAGAAGAAGAAAACATTTAGGTGTTTGGAAAGGCTCTATTGGAATGATTATAAGGAGGATGGACTGCTGAGAGGAGTGTTTATTTGTGTACCCGGTCTGTATCATGCATAAACGAACAGATAATTGATAAAAATACATAGCAGATGGATGATTTGGAAATGAAGGAATTGGGGAACTTGGCTTGGCGGAAACTGAGGACATTGGATGTTTAAAAAATATCCTGAACCCAGACTCCTCCAGCTTGGATTGATTCAGATCAAGACCCTGATGATGCTTGTCAGATCAGGCATCTTGTCCTCTTCAGAGTTCTCTGTGCCGTCTTGTATATTAACATGGTGCGCATGGTAACTGTGTGCAAAGTTGGTGCGAAGATAAAGAAAAATTGAATTGAAGCCAGTGATAACAGTTGTATACTACCACGATGATAACATTAACAAAAACTGCCTGAAGATGAAGATTGAAGAAGAAAAGAAAACAACATTTGTGATATTCCCATACTAGCATATATTATAGAAGTAAATATCATCATGTTCTGGAAAAACAACTTCCCATTGCCAACCTCATGACTGACTGTACAACCTCATGACTCACTGCCTTCCTAAGGTGCAATCTCATTAGAATCATCTTAGTTCTTGCTAATGGGATGTCCTCAGATCTTTTGTTTAACGGCAGCGAGAACTTAGATCTGATTCTAATGAGATTGTCCTAAGGTGCAAATGTACAAATACCATTGTCATCTCTGTTGTTATGATATATATCACTTAAAAAAGTTGAACACCCAATTCTTTCATATTACTGTACATCATCATGATAGATCAGCTATACTGATATGAAAGAATCATGCATTCCTTTACTTCTTTTGATTAGTATAGGTATCAAATAGTCTTTCTTCAAATGAATCTTTGACGTTGTTCTAAAATGTTTTGAATGAGTACTATAGTCTACAAGCTGCATTGAAAGAGTGGTGGCTGTCTGACCTTGAATGAATAAATGTTTTCCACCTCATGAAAAGATTGTACATTTAATGACTTTCACAACCCATGTTTTGACCTTTGCTAAACATGAACTACAGCCAAAGCCTTTTTCAATGTTCTTTTGATATAGTATATTCTTACAAAACATTTTTTGTTTGTTAAATGTGTGCATCTTATACTTATTTACCCAGTTTCTCAGCTCACTTTACATCATCAAAGTCAGCTAATGTGTTTCTTCCGAAAATGAAAACTAATGAACATAACAAAGTCATATTCTCATAACAATTTAAAAAAAATCAAAATGGCCACTACTGCTGCACATTTGAGTGAAGAATACAGTCTTCATGTTACCTTCTTTTGTTAAAGTAGTGGCTATATACCTTTCAATCATTTAGAGGAAGCTATTAATAATCTTCTTTACAATCAAGTAAGGTTATTTTAGAAGAAAATGAAAATGGCAGCAATTTAACATAGTCTGACAATGGGTGTTGGGAATCTGTTGAATATCCAAGTTTGTATACTGTTGTTGAAGTTGTTCACTGTTAAGTCAAAGTTTTCCTA